GTCCATCATGGCAAAAGGGCAAGGGATTGTTTGTCTTCTTGGGCTACTCAAAAGTGATGACAGGATGTGACAGCCTCAGACCTGTTTACTCAAAATCTGCTCTGCAGTAGGTGGGACAGATGGTTGGGACCCCCCCCCTTTCTGTGTGTGTGTGTGTGTGTGTGTGAGAGAGAGAGAGAGAGAGAGAGAAAGAGAGAGAATGAGAGATTCCTAGCATATCCCTTGTAATAATTACTACATTTAAGTTCTGACAGCCATACCATTTTTGATAAACACTTCCCTGCTGTGTCCTGTTCATAGAAGTGTGCTTCCTAATCAATGATGGCTCTGTATTAAAACATCAGATTAAAAAGGGGAAGATCCTACCAAATTGGTTTTCTCCCCATTAAAAACAGTAGTCCAGTTCTGTGCTGAGAGCAAAACAGCAGATCGCCCCCGTTCTGTCATGAGAACACATCTCTAGAGAGATTCACATCTCTCTAGAATGGAAGTAACTCACAGAGCTACTCCCTTTTGTTGTGGGAATGATTCAGAAGCAGAACAATTATCACTCGATAGAGCAAAACTCCCAATCTCCAATATCTTTAATTATGGAATATGAGTGCTATTTCCCTGAATAAAAATCTAAGTGCTGAAACAGTCTTGAATGGGACAGAGAAAAGACCTGATTTCTTTGAAGCTTAGCTTTCTTTATGATTGAAGTTCGCTTGGATTCAGTGCTACAAGCTAACATCACAAACTAGGTTAAACATCACCAAAGTATTAGCTACAAGATCTGACTATGGCTCTCAGTTTGAACATCAGTATCAATTAAGAGAGGGAAATAAATTAGAACTAAACAACTAGCTTCAATTAAAGAAGTCTAGAAGCATTCAGTGAAAGTAAGGAGAAGAACTGTGGAGCTGAGAACTAGCAGAACTGACGTATTGGGATATATCTTGCAGTGGGAGTGACAGTGTGTTCAGAACAGCCACGGCCTTGCTCTTGAGTAGATCATATATATCCCTGCCGGTTAGTTAATGCTATGTGGTTTTACTATGGGAGTTGGTGCACCCAATTATGGCCAGCTTGTATTAGAACATTGGTCCAGTTTGCTCAACAAATGGCTGAGGAAGTCAAACTCTGGAGAGCTGCACCTGTTACATGCATAGTCTACTGTTGAGCTACAGTCTGGATTTAGCTTGCAAACTGATCCAATTCATTTTGCGTGGCATAAAGGAAATGTGTTTCCCAGCCTTGTTCTACCTGCTGTTTGCCTTGAGGGCCATTTGCCCCATTGTCATATGAGTGATGTTTCAGGTGGTGTAATGTGGCCAGGAGGAAAGTTCCTGAGAAATTCACTGGTGCATGTCCAGTCTTTGAGAGAGCTGATGAGACAGCAAGACCGGAACATTTGGCCCGTGCCTAATGCAATGATCTGTCAGCATTGCATCTGACTCATTTCCCTTTCCTGTTACCAGCAGCTAGGCATGGGAGGCCAACCATTTTCTGTCCATTGAGCAGAGTCTTTGTTCTTGGATTTTAGTTTCCTTGGCTGCTGGCTCACAAGCGTCAGTGTCAGTAACTTTAACCTCAGACAGAAGGCTCAGAGAGAAGCCCCAGGGTTTTTCCAGAAGGGGATGACTTGCCTACAGAAAAACATAAGTGCAAAATGGTGCATAGGAGCTTTGGACTGAGATTACAACTGCAGGTTATTAGGGATCTACAGAAGGGAAGAAGAAGGAATGAAGAAGAATTGGGTGATCCTAATTATCATAGGTTTAGATGCAGTTGAAGTCAAATCCTTCCATGAAAACTGACAGTGGAATTCTTTCCCCTTTCCTAGAGCTTTCTCCTCCTTCTCCTTCTCCTTCTCCTTCTCCTCCTCCTTCTCCTTCTCCTTCTCCTTCTCCTCCTCCTCCTCCTCCTCCTCCGCCTCCTCCTCCTCCTCCTCCTCCTCCTCCTCCTTATTTTGTTTTTTTTTTAAGTTGCTGGAGCTTATGTGTAGATGTAGATGTAGATGAGAACCAGTTTGGTGTAGTGGTTAAGGCACCAGGCTAGAAACCAGGAGACCCTGAGTTCTAGTCCTGCCTTAGGCATGATGGCCAGCTGAGTGGCCAGTCACTCTCTCTCAGCCCTAGGAAGTAGGCAGTGGCAAACCACTTCCAAAAAATCTTGCCAAGAAAACTGCAGGAACTTGTCTGGGCAGTTGCCAGGAGTCAACACTGACTCAAAGGCACACACACAGACACACACAAAGATATAGATATGTTAGTTTCTCCACTTCTAGCAGTGATCATTGCCCAAAAAAGTTTCCTCTAGTGTCAAATAAATTATATAATGTTGGCCAATAGAATGTCCAGAGTAGCCACTATTCTTCATCTGATCAATTACTGCAGTAACATGATGAGCTGCAGAAACGTTCCCAGGATTAGTCTGAATTTTAAAAATACCACCCTTCTCTTTCTTGGACACTGTTCTACCTTTCCATTATGAGAGCTTTCTTTCCTTTATAGGATAACTCGGTGCAGATGCCCTCTTTTACCAGTGATACCTTTTTATTTATTTATATATTTAGCATATTTATGTAGCCTGCTAATCATTTCTGATTATTTCTTTTATGGCAGGTGTTCTTTATAATCTTGTAGAACATACATGGGGGTGCGGGGGAGGAACCTTTTTTATTCAGACCATTGATGGGTATTGGGAGGCAGTTATGTGTGAAAGAGGGAGAAAGACCCATGGTTCTGAAGTCAGAGGGGAAACACTAGAAGCCAAAGGGGGGTGGGGGGGAGAGAAAATGAAATGCTGTCATAAACACATCCTGTTTATGCACGTTCTCTGAAGACTTTTTTCCTGGTTTTAAGGCTTGTCTGTTTCAAAAGCTGCGCTACTGAGCCAGTGGTAGGGCTTCAGCATGAACTCTGCCCCCGCTTTGATCCCCTCCTTCCCTGAGCATTATGTTGACATTATGGGGACTCTTCTTCTCTCCTCCCCCGCCCCCTCCCCTGCTTCCCTTCATCTTTGCTTGCAAGTTCTTGCCATTGTGCTTGTTTGCTTTGCGATTGACTGACTGATGGCCACATGTGAAGTGGCTCCCTTTGGCCTGTTCCATTCAACTTTCTTCAGCACTTCTGAAGTGCTTCAATAGGCTTGTTCTCTGTTAGCTTTCAAGAACTACTGGGAGACAATTCTGTACGTCAGTGTTTCTCAACCTTGGCAACTTTAAGATAGTGGCTTCAATAGTGGTTGGTTTTAGTCTCAGCTATTCCCTTGCTGGCTGGGGAATTCTGGGAGCTGAAGTCCACACATCTTAAAGTTGCCAAGGTTGAGAAACACTGCTGTCAGGCATGTTCCTGAGTGCCTGGTGGTGCTGGCTGGGGCCTGGCTCTCTTCTCCTTTCCCCACCATAACCTTGTCACTTCCCCCGGCTTGTATTTATGGCCCATTCTTCAAGAAGGAGAGGCTGCCCTTCTGCCTGAGTTATTCCAGACATTTAAATAATCTGCCACTTTTTAATGAGTAAATCCTGCTCAACACTACGTCAGACAGAAGTTTATCTCCTGACAGGTCCTGGAGGGGAAGGGCCGCTGGGGAGCCCTGCTTTGCAGGGAGGAAACCACGTGGCAGTCGAACAAGGTTCTCTGTGTCTGCTGGTGACAGGCACGAAATCTCCCCCTGCCAGTCTCCAAATCTGTTGGACTCTCTGGGGTGTTGAGTCAAGTTCATGCTGCAGAACCGCTGCTCTGTGCAGTACCCCTGTCGAGAGAAACCGGCAGCAAGATGTGCGGTTGTCCCAATGAGCCACGGGCATCACAGCACCACTGTCCTGTCTCATTTGGTGAGAGTGAAGAAAGGCTCCCACACGTGCTGGCACTCCAGCAATGTCAGGGGAGGGTGTTCGTAAGTCAGGAATGCACCGAGACAGCAAATGCCAGTCTTAGTGGCCAGCAAACCGGGTTTCACGTCTTGCTCTGGACTCTTTTTTCTCCACTCCCAGTTCTGTCAGCGTGCAAGCTACTCTTTTTGGCAATAGTGAAGATGCATCTGAAGGAAATGTTTGTATGGGAGGTTGGAGAAATGATCTCTGCCTTCTGCAAGCTTTCCTGTTGCTTGACCGCTGCCTCCCAGCTTCCAGCTGATGTCCTTCCTTCTGTTTCAGCAGCTTTCTCTAGTTAGAGACATTTATTGGGCTTGCTCCGTTACAAGCTCTGCTCTTGCTTTTCAGGCCGAGTGTATGAATTTTGTTAAGATCCTACATCTCTACAACCGCACACACCTGCACGCCTGTGGCACTGGGGCTTTTCACCCCATTTGTGGCTTTGTAGAAGTGGGGCAACGTGTGGAGGTGAGTGATGCACAAAGGTTCATAAAGTGAACATGTGTCTGGGGGTTCAGAAGAAGGATTACTGGGACTAAAACCAAGGCAGCAGAATCATAGAAGCTCCAAGGTTGTCTCGATGAACATGTCTGCTCCTTCCTCTAGGACTCTGTGTTTAAGCTGGACCTCAGGAGCCTGGAGGATGGCAAAGGCAAAAGCCCCTATGACCCAAATCACATGGCTGCCTCAGTTCTTGCAGGTAAGGGGAGAGGCCCTCAAACAGTGACCTAGTCCCCAAACCAAGATAACAAAACCCACATGAGATCTCACGTAGGATCCTTCGAAACCCTCATCTTTCCTCCCTCCACCTGCTCTGGGAACACTCTGCGCTGAGGATGCAGCTGCTGGGAGGTGGCTCATTCAGCGAGGCTCCCGATGCAGTGCCCTCTCCCCATCTGGTGCCCTGGGGTCTTTCTCGGGGACCAGAGGAAGAAGATTTGGAACATACTCTGAGACGTCAATCCCTTCTGGCTGGGGGTGGAGAATGGGAAGCCAGGAAGCTTTTGAAACCTCTCTTCTTTTGTGCTGGCCAGGTGAAGAGCTTTACTCTGGTGTGGCTACTGATCTGATGGGCCGAGACTTCACCATCTTCCGCAGCCTGGGATCGAGGCCCTCTGTCCGCACAGAGCAGCATGATTCCCGATGGCTCAATGGTCAGTGCAGGGTTTGTGAGAAGGGCACCTACAGTGTGGGAAGGGAGTCAGTACTGGAAAGGGACAGTACAGGGGTGAAAGAAAAATGGCCTTAAAAGTGCCAGGGAATCCAGAGTTCATTATTACAATTCTTGTCCCTCTTGTTCCAAGTCAAGTTGCTCCCTTGTTGTTTAGTAACTTATGAGTGGAAGCTGCCATCTAGTGGCCAAAGCATGTCACTACCATGGCCTGAGATGCCAGAACGCTAAGCTGGAAGAGAAGGTGGAAGGAAAAACATTAGAATGCTCCGCAGGATGTGTGTTTTCTGTTTGGTTTGGTTTAATTCATTAATCAGCAGTTCTACATTGCTGTTTCCAAGTTCAGGAAAGTAGCAATCTGGATGATTACGCTGGTTGGACAACTCTGGGATTTCAAGTCCCAGCACATCAAAGGAGAACTGTTGGGGAATGCACTCCTGTGATCTTTCTCTCTTCTAAATGTTCTTAACAAACTAGTTGGCTTTCTTATCTCTTTTTTCAAGGACCGCAAAGAGCAGTTGAATTTAATGAAGAAAATGAGCAGGGATGTTCTCAGGGTTTGGTCAAAAAAGTCAATAAGTTGGCCATGGCAGTGCAATCAAAGAACCACCTGTTTTTTATGTGTTGCACATAAAAACAGGTGGACCTTCAGGCACACTGTCATAGCCTCCATCTTGACTTTTTTTTTAATCACACCTGTGGACACTTCTCAAAACAAGTAAGAGGTAGAGTTAATCTGTCCCCCAGAATCAAAGTTCCAGTGAAATTCTGTCGCCTGTATGAGGAAGGCCTGTAGCCTCAAAATGAAGTCTGCCTGCAAATGGCTTCAGGTTCAGTTCCCTGTGCTTCAAGATGTAGCTGACTTTGGCTGATCTTGAAAGGGAAGGAGAGTCAGGTCTGATTAATACCTGGCTGGTGACTGCCAGGGAATCCTTGGGCTCAAAAAAAACCAAAACAAAACAGAAGAAGGCAATGACAAGACACTTCCATATTCTTGCCATAAAAACTACCTAGGTGTGCCAATCAAGTTAGCAGGAGTTGGGCTTGACTTGAAGGAGACATCTTGATTTTAAGAGAGATGATCTCCCATGTCATGCTTAATTTGTCCCCAAAAGGAGCTTTGGCATAGATGTCACAGGAAAAATATCTCACTGCTAAGATTTCATCTTAAGCAGAAGAAAAACCGGGATCTAGAAAGCAAGTTGTCTGTGCATAATTGCCTGTTTCTTATCTTTCTTCACTATCCCCTCTCCAAAGCAGCCATTTCTAAACCTAAAAAGGATGACCTGCATTGTTTTGTCCTGTATTAACATCCTCTTTCATTTCTTTGACTCAAGAACCCAAGTTCATTGATGTCTTCTGGATCCCAGAGAGTGAGAACCCTGATGATGATAAGATCTTCTTTTTCTTCCGGGAAACAGCAGTGGAGGGATCCCAAGGCCTGGACAAGCAGACCTTTGCACGCATTGGGCAAATTTGCCGGGTAAGAATTTTGTATGGGCTCCAGTCCCAAGATGAGGATGGTCAGGACACTTGGGAGTTGGACAAAGTCTGGTGAAGATAGATGGCTGGGAGTTGGCCCTGGCTTTTTTGAAAGGATGAGGGTCCCTACTCTACAGCAGATGTTTCCAAGGGGCTCTACAGCAACAACTGGGTGTTGAAGGGTCTTGAAGAATTCCAGCCCAGCAATGCTGTGAAAGCAGTAAAATTCAACCTCCCACCTCCATTCTTAGATGTGCACTAGGTTCTATGTGTATGTGCAACTGAGCCCCTTTACGTTAAAGACTTCTGAGCTCCTTGAAGATCCCTGAGTCAGCTGGCCTCTATGTGCATTATTCACTGTGCTCCCCAGCCAGCTTTCTGATAGGTCTCTTCTTGTCCCTTTAGAATGATATGGGTGGGCAGAGAAGCCTGGTGAATAAATGGACAACATTCCTGAAGGCCCGGCTGGTGTGTGCAGTACCAGGCAGTGATGGGAGTGACACCCATTTTGACCACCTCCGTGAGTGACTGCCCCTGGTGGAGGGTTGGGATGGTGCTAAATGAGGAAAATGTTGATGGGGCTGCCATTAGACTATTGGACAACAGAAACAAAGTTGGAATGAAGCTGACAGGGGAGGAATAATGCATCTGCCTCACATTCCTAGGGCAACAGAGCAATTCTTGAAAGCTTGCTTGTCTGCTTGCTTGCTTGCTTGCTTGATTTATTTATAAATATGGTATTCTTGATCTTAGAATAGGCCTTATCCCAGTTATATTAGGAGGTTAGAGCTGAGTGCAGACTTTGGTGGTGACCATCTTTCCTTTCACATCTGACGACATGGTCCATAGAACAGAAATATATGCATGACTGTACATGTTTTTTTTTCTCTTAGTTCAGAAGTGGTAATATGATTGGAACTATAATATAATAATGGTAATAAGTTTTAAGAAAACTTCCAGCAAATGATTTGGCTTTTTTTTTTTAACTTATTACCATTACCATTATTATAGTTCCAATTGTATAACCACTTCTGAACTAAAAGAAAAGGTCTTTACAAGTTAACAATTATATTTTGAAATGCAGATACGTTTTCTCTCAAAACTTAATAGAAAACCTATTTCCCTTGAAAAATGCCCATTTGCATTCTGGCTTTTCTGAATTTTAATATAATTTAATGTTCTCCTTATCCTCAGAATTACAACAGTAAAACCACATAATTTCAGCTTTCAGATATTACTATCTGGTATTCTTCTCTTCCTCCAGAGTTGATTTTTGGCAACTTCTTTTTTTTAATGGAACTTCTTTCGTCCAGCCTTCTCCAACTTGGAGCTCTCCAGACAGTTGGACTATAATTCCCATTGTCCTCAGGCAGCATGAAATTAGGCTGTGATAGCTGGGAATTGTGGGATTTTTTGCCAAATACATGCAGTGGTCACTAGGCTGGCGGAGGTTCTAATAGCAAGAGGGACAGAGCAGAGAACAAGGATGGGGGCTTGATTTCTCCCTTCCTTGGTGAGTGTTTTCATGTCTGGGTTGAAAGAAAGTCATACTCTCCTTTGGGTAGAAGTGATTTGTCATTTATCATGTGCCAAGCTGCAGGCTGATGATTTCTTCCATTCTTGTTGCTCAGGTGATGTCTTCTTGTTGCCAACCAGGGATAAGCGTAATCCATTGTTATATGCAGTTTTTACCACCTCCAGGTAAAAACAAAAGAGTCTTCCTTACATCAGCAGTGGGCAGACTTCAGGCTTCTTGCTTTTTCACGATGACCCTCAATCTGTCAACCAAAGTCAGGGGTAAAAGATGCAACTGACGAAAGGGATGCCTCTGAGTACACATTGTGTCAAGGAATGTGTTTTCTGCCATTTCTGCACATGCTCATCCTGGCTAGCCCTTGCTTTCTTCAGTTCAATAGCCTAATTTTAAGTGAGGGAGAATCTGGGAGTCAATGTAAGCCACCTAGTGATTTTGGAGCTGGGCAGCCTGCAAATGAAATGAAATGAAATGAAATCAATCAATAAATCTTTGCTGATCTATCATAAATCAGGCTGAAATTTAGTGGTGGATTCTGATCTATTTTCTGCCCAATGCTGCTACACTGTCCTGACAGCCCAGGATTCCTGCATCTTTGCTCACCAGAATGCATCAGCTGACCCCAAAAAAGGCCTGTTCTGCCAGACATGGAATGCTTCTAGACAAGGCTTTTATCCTGCAACTACCTTGCAGGGTTTGACATAATCTTCCATTTGTAACCCTCCCATGTTTTCCCATTGCTTTTTAAAATTTCTTTTCTTACCAGAAAAAAGAAAAAAAAAACCTGACAAAACTGTTAAACAGGGAAAGATGCATGGAAGTCAGGCAGGATCTGTAATCAGCATGACCAGGTGCCAAAGCAAGGCACCTACCTTCCCAGCTTCATTTCTTTACCCTTCCTGTAATGCTTTTTATTCTGATTACAGCACAGTTTTCAAAGGTTCTGCTGTCTGCATGTATCACATGAACGACATCCGCAGAGCTTTCCTTGGTCCTTTTGCTCACAAGGAGGGTCCTAACTATCAGTGGGTTTCCTATCAAGGCCGTGTCCCTTATCCTCGCCCAGGAACGGTATGTATATTGGACCTGAGATCTTGAAATATGAAGAAAAGTGTTTCTGTCCATGAAATGTCTAGAGATTGGGACGATTATTGATTAACATTTATCTAACTTATGCCCAGGAAGGAGAGGGCTTTGTACTTGCAGGGTTTTGCTTCTGTTCCAGGAGATTCTAGGTTTTTGGGTAAACAGTGAAGAAGGAGATCAGAAGAGAAGGGCACCAGCTCTGCAAAAGGGGAAGTTATTGTGAGATATGACTGAAATAGAAGGAAAGCAAATTATAGAAGGAAAGCAAAGTGGGAAAAATGGAGGGCTGTGGTAGGAAGTATTTATGGGTAGACCATTTTTCAACACTTGGGGGCATTGCCTGTCTTCACCTCCCTTCTCTCTGACTTTCCAGTGTCCCAGCAAAACCTTTGGCACTTTTAGTTCCACCAAGGATTACCCTGATGATGTGATCCAATTTGCCCGTAACCACCCATTAATGCATAATCCAGTGCTGCCCCATGGCCAAAGACCTGTCTTCCTGCAAACCAATGTGGACCACATCTTCACTCGCATCGCAGTGGACCGAGTGGCAGCCACCGATGGTCACTATGACGTCCTCTTCATTGGCACAGGTATATCTGCATCCCTCCTCTTCTGATGAGAAAGTGTACAGGTACACGGCCAAGTTTCTATCTGATCCCCAAAACTGCATGCCAGAGGATGCCCCTTGTTCAAAGGTGAAAGGTTTTGTGTCCTTCTTCAGATTTGGCTCACAACTTTGAGGAGGCTTATTTTTTGTAGCAGAACCAAATATAGAACAGAGAGGCATAACCAATCACAAGTTGCCCCTAAGTTGTAATTTTAGTATGTTAGAAGGAAGAAGTCCTTAAATACATGCAGAGAATTCCTAGTGGCTGTTTTAATGAACTGAATGTTGTTAAGATAAAATAATACGTTGTTTTTTTATCCTGACCACATCTGCCTCACTTTCTTGGTTCCATCCTCTTTTGAAACACAGCTCCTTGCATCCTGTCCAAAGGCCATCTTAAGCCCTGACTTTCCTCTTTCCTCTGCCATTGCCTGCAGCTTCTTTGCTTTTCCCACTGTGTTTTCTTTCAACACTATATATTTGCATATGTATGATACATTAATTTGAACCAGTCATAAACAACCAAGACCCCAGCACCTGTTTTAGGAAACATACATTTATTTGTGTCTCAGAGATACAGTAGGTGACCATCCCATTATTCTAGTAGAAATGAAGCACAGAATTATGTTCAGTCTCCATGGTATAATAAGGATGGGAACCAAATCCTTACCAGCTAGGAACTGTATGAACTCAAGTTCCAGGCATTGGGAGGGAAAGAAGTTGGGAAAAGTACTTGGGGGTGAAAAATATAGCATAGAGGAACACATATATCATCAGCACTGCAATCTTGATCAAAGTGGGACCTTTAATACCCGCAATAGCATTTTTATTTGCAACTGCTACAGGAAATATGTTCCTGACCTCCTGCATCATACCCGTTCATGTCCTGGGCCATTGGTCCAACTTCTTACTGGTTCTTTGATTCCATGGCTCTGATTTTAGTAAATCAAGAGATATTGAAATCAAGAACCTTGAAAGTAGTAACTAAAATAGCCTTCCCAATCAGATGCACTCCATCGATGCTGGACAACAGTTCCTATCATCCTCAGCCAACATGTTTGTATGTTGTGTGTAAACTGATTTGCATGGCTTGACACTTTCATGTATTCTCTTGGGTATAGAGGAAAAGCAGGACTGTAGTTCAGCCAACCCACCTGCCTATAACCTCTTTTTGTGCAAAATGGTTACACTTTCCCTTTGCCTGGCAGACATTGGCACAGTCCTGAAGGTCGTCTCTGTGCCCAAGGACTCATGGCAAAACATGGAGGAATTGCTGCTGGAGGAACTGCAGGTGTTCAAGGTGAGTTTGAACAACTGGAGAAAGGTAGTTTGGCCTGAGGCAAGAATAGCTGACTTTTAAAACAATATTATAGTCTTTGTTCGCATAATACACTTACCATAGATGCTTCTCTCATGGTTGATAGCATTAGCCCAACTGGTTAGGTGCTCTGGGAAGCTAGGCTAAAATATCATTAGCTGGTTTGTGGTTCGGTAGCTGGTTCCCCCACCATACTTAACTGGACCAATGAAAAATATTAATATGTTGTCAGAACACCAAAAATGTTGCTCCAGTCATTTGACCTCCTAGAGATTAAATTTAACCTAAAACCATCTCAGTTAGGTTAAACCTAAGTCGGCTGTGTCCTGGGAATACCAAACCCAGTCAAGTGCCTTGTTTTGTGGTGTTAATCCTCCAAGAAAAAGGGCTGGAGCGAAAGAATGGGTGAGAAAGCAAGCCTCTCCCTCAGGGCCAAGGCCTGACAGGACAGAATACACTTCTGAAACAAGCATGGGCTGCAGCAGCCCAGCAGCCATGCCACCTGCTATCATCCTACCCATAGGGAGACAGGTTAGTGAAGTAATTTACCCTCACTAGGCCTCATTGGTTACTGGGCGCTTCCTAGAACATGTTTCTCAACCTTGGCCGCTTGAAGATGTGTGGACTTCAACTCCCAGAATTCCCCAGCCCCCCTTGCTGGGTGGGGGATTTTTTGGGTTTTAGGCTCCAAACATTTTAAAGGGCCAAAGTTTGGAAAAAATTTTTTGTAGGGGGCCAG